TTATAAAATAGAGTCATACTTGACCTATATAGCACGTGTTTACAGCGGGATTGGAGAAACATGATGTCCACCAGACCGAGTTTACCCCTACCGGTGGTCAGCTGCATGATGGCCATTATATAGAAACTGACCTTGAGCGAGCACGTGTACCTGAAACAAAATATTAGAATTACTTTAAAATAAAAACTAGTATTNCAACAACAAACAACATAAAATAACAACAAGAGATGGCCTAAAGTACAATATTAAATTCCTGTGTTTTCACTATTTGCCGTTACATTGATCTGATATTTTACTTTCAGAAGATTAATGATTCATGTTCCAAAATAAAACATAATATTCTGTTGAGTATATTGCATTTTTGTGTACGTTACCCAGTAAGCGGGATTTATTGACACTGTAATTATTGGCAATATATTAAATTGACATTTATAAAGCATGACATCATATACGTTTCGTAGACTTCTATTCCAAAAGTTGATTTACCTTTTAAACAGATACATTTTAATCGGTTTACCATTTGTACTTTGGGGGTACATTTAGCTTATCAAGTCATTAAACTAAGATAATGAACAGTTGCAATCAAGTAAGTTTACATTCAAATAAACCAGAAACATATCACACATTTATTTTTGAAGAGCTTTTCTAAGAAACGATTAGCGGCATTAAAAACAGTACATCACAAAATGCAATCACAACATGATGTCTCAAGATCATTTGCCACCTCGTTTACTGCCAACGAATGTCCCTCTCTCCAGCACACACACACGTACAGGAACGCGTACACAACACACGCGGAGGCACGCCTTTAAATGACCTTAGCTGTTAATAGGACGTTAAACTTAATAAAACCAAACCAAACCCACTAATTTCAATGTCCCTTTTGTTTTTTTCTCCAAAATTCCTTTATATATCCCCCTCCATATATCGACAAATCCCTTTATAAAGACAAACTTCGCTAGACACATAATGGCAGTATAACGAGGTTTAACTGTACTGTGTTCTATAATACTTTGGGATCTGTCTCTGGCGTAAAGGACCTCGTGATAATATCTGAGCAGCCCGTGGTCTTCAATCTAGTCCAGCATGACAGTATGCTCATATACCGAGATACATTTTTAAATGGCGAGCTTATACCAACCATTAGAATTGATGCATTTTTAAATCCTGAGAGAATTTTATCCTTTTTAAGTGACACAATTCTTGAGGAAAATTCGATTTTAGGCCATAATTTTGACATTTATCTGTAAGATTACTGTTAGATATAACATCACGAAATTAGGGCAAGGTTTTATGACACCACCGGGCTTGTTTTATTACTTAATATCATGACACACACGAACAACAGACCTGGCTCTGCTGTGATTTTAAAATATGCCAATATGTGTACTATTAAGACGTCGACATTCCCGTACCTAGCTCCAGATAACCCTCTGCCCATAAACAGTGCGGTTTTGTTTGGGTTTTAATGTCTCCTGTTTTTGTATGTATTTATATATGAGAGAAACATATCATTGTTGTGCTGTTATATCCGACCGTAGCATCTAAAACCTTAGTTTATAGTATCCTCTCGCTGAAACGCCATTAAACGCGAATGAGGTATTTAATGGTTTACAACGGACACTGCATGAGGAATTTTCCTTCGGCCGAATTATTGAGCACATGACCAGATGCCTTGTGGGGAGTTTGTTTGTTTGTTTGTTTATCTTTTACGTCCTATTAGCAGCTATGGTCATANGCACATGACCAGATGCCTTGTGGGGAGTTTGTTTGTTTGTTTGTTTGTCTTTTACGTCCTATTAGCAGCTATGGTCATTTAAGGACGTGCCAGGTTTTGGTGGTTGAGGAAAGCCGGAGTTCCCGGAGAAAAACCACCGACCTACGGTCAGTACCTAGCGACTGCCCCACATAGGCCACGAACTCGCGACCCAGTGGTGGAGGGCTAGTGGTTGCAGAATGTGAGACGTCTTAAACACTTGGCCACCGCGGCCCCTTGTGGGTAGAGGAGTACTTTTGAAAGCAAAATTCTGATAGAAGACGTTCGTGTCATTAATTCTCAGCCAGAATGAGATAACAACACCCTTTAACTATGTTAGTTTACACACAAACAGATCATGCACTGCAATATATGTCAATATTATAGACTTCAATTAATATTTTTTATTAATTCCTATGTAAAAAATGAGTTCTTTAACAAGGCGGAGTTTTATACAAAAGGAGAATTCTGAAAATGAAAATATCGAATCCATATATAGTCGTGTCATGTCGGGTGGTGTGATAGGACGCCGGTCTGTCATGCATTAACCTCCGGTAGAGTACCGCAGTCTCCTTATACAGCAGGGTAAATTTATACATTTCCTGTTGGATATATGTGTAGCAGAGGTACCATGCTAGTCTAAACAAGTTCTAGCGACCCATGCAAAACCAATGAACAAGCAAATAAAACGATTGCCACCACGACTGGGAATTGAAACTAGACTGTTATTGGGCATCGGCAGAAATTGAAAATGACAGAGTACTTACCCATAAATGTCCAAGGTCGAAGTCTACATCAATACGTTGTAGGTGGTGACGATGGCTGGAAAGCAGAATTGTTACATATTCTAACTCATTTGCTGAGAGACAATATATGTCGACATTTTTTGCTATATCTTAAAATTGTCAGCAAAAACATAATAGAAAATGAAGGTTAACAAATATAAAATAAGAAACATCTAGTTTCTGACAAGAATTGTGGTGCATTGTGACTTTTACACCATGTCAGGAAACACTTATCGCTATGGGGTAGCCATTGCTAAAATCGAAAGTGACAGAAAATGTTTCTGCCTTCGCCGAATAAATCTCCACTGATAATCTGATTCCCTGGAGGCAATTATGTTTGGTGTGTGGTCGGAATGGCTGCCTTAGCGGGAATGTGTACGTGTGGGTATGGGGAAATGCTACAGGGAGGTTGTGGTTAGAAAATAGGGGCAGGGATGTGGGCTAGGGGTAGGGATGTGGGCTAGGGGCAGGGATGTGGGCTAGGGGTAGGGATGTGGGGGTAGGGATGTGGGCTAGGGGTAGGGATGTGGGCTAGGGGCAGGAATGTGGGCTTGGGGTAAGGATTAGGAAATAGGGGCAGGGATGTGGGCTAGGGGTAGAGATGTGGGCTAGGGGTAGGCATGTGGGCTAGGGGCAGGGATGTGGGCTAGGGGTAAGGATTAGGAAATAGGGGCAGAGATGTGGGCTAGGGGTAGGGATTAGGGGATAGGGGCAGGGCTGTGTGGTATTGGGAAATGGACGGGGAGGCTGAAATGGGAAGGGGTTGTCGTGGTTGTAAGGTATGGATATGTGATGGTGTTGGGTGTAAGGTGTGGGGTAAGGTGTCGGGCGGAAAAGGAAGTAAATGGTTTGGACGTGTTGGTGTGACTACAATGTGCGTGTAGGCTTTTGGCGTTGTATGGAGTATGTTCCTAGGGAATGTGGGATTAGGAAGCTCATTTACATTAACGGTAGTCTAGGTGGCATCATCAGTGTAACTACATCCATCCGTGTGCTGACACTAAGTATTGAGAAAGCTTCAAATAGACAGTCCCTATAAGCCTCTTCCTTTCTCAACACTATCATCCTTTGCTATGTTGTCCGCAGTGGCCAAATAATTTAGGTGTCTGAAGTCTATGATCACTAGCCCTCTACCACTGGGTCGCGGGTTCGAGGCCTACGTTGGGCAGTCGTCGGGTACTCATCGCCGGTCGGTGGTTTTTCTTCGGGTACTCCGGTTGTCCTCCACAATCAAAATATGGTATTACATTAATGGTATTGATTGCAATAAGGGTTACTTTGACCCTCCCCTCTGTATTGGTATTTCGTGTTGTGATATTTTTTCTCAATTAAGCGAAATTGTCCGCTTGATAATTGTGCCAGTGACGAAAACCTTAATATTTGATAAACACCGATAGTATAAAGCTTCTCTAACATTTAATATGCGATCGATAAACAGAAAGCTATTACGTTTGAATTAATATTTCCATCTCACAAATGTCAGATCCTCACGTTTGTATTTGTTTGATACTCCATCAAAATAAAACATTAGCTCTTCATAGAATACCCAAGATACAGACAGCACCTTTATCCGGGCCGCGTGTGATACAGGTCATACACTTGCATGCAAAGGATGCGAGTTCAATTTCTGTTATTGAAGAGTTACGTGGTATTAACGACACATACAATTAATTATCAGTAATATTAGAGGTTTGCCCCATGCCATGTCATTTTTGACGTTAATGAATTCAATTCCATCATTCATGTTGTTTTCCGTGTAGTTTTGGCGTATCCTTGTCTTGTTCTATCCACCTGTGTAGGTCGTTACATGTGTAAAATGATTGGAGCAATACGTATGTCACAGTAGCGTAAGGATCCCCGTACCACTGCTAAAAACTGTAAGGAAGTGTTGGAAATTGTATTTTCCGGTATGACTATAGTTTTGATCAATCTTTCCTGAAAAGAAACCAATACCTTACGGGACTTCTTTGAAAAGTAATGAAGTGAAATATATACATATATATAATTAATAATAGCGTTTTGAGTGTAATTATTCAGCGATACTAGACNGGGGGGGGGGGTAACTGTATATAGGGGAAAACATAGTGCAGTAGGAGACAGGGTCCTTAAGTGACACTCGACATTAATCATTTACTGTAGCGTGCTTAACGATGCACACATGCATATTTAAGTGAATAAAAGTATGGAAGGTTGATTATATCGACTCTTTAAATAAATCTAGCAGATGATGTTTAGTGAGATTCGAATATAGCTTTCAAAATCTCGATCAGAATAAAAAAAAATAACAGAAAAACCGTCGCAGTTACAAGTGTCTGAAATCCTCTCATTATTTCAGATGATTTCAAACAGATTTAGAGTAAATATTGAACTGTTAAAATATATGTTTTTTAAGGTTAATTGAATGATATAATGTATGTCTGCAAATTCAACGCTAATTGGGTTTTCTTTTTTTGTTGCAGTGTCCGCGTATTCTTCAAAGCGCCGGGTCCTTGTCCCAAACTTTTTACCCACAAAAACGAATGTTACCGTCCATATGGGAGAATTAGCCGTTCTTCAGTGCAAGATCCGGAATCTCGGCCCCAAACAGGTAAGCATGACTTCTTATATTGACTCTTGAATGTATGACAGTGATGCATACGCTGATATTGATGACGTTAGCTTAACGTTTACATCGATATTGATGACGTCAGCTTAACGTTTACACTAATATTGATGACGTCAGCTTAACGTTTACACCGATATATTGATGACGTCAGCTTAACGTTTACGCTGATATGACGTATTAAGGCATTCGTAGACATGTAAATTATTTTGTCATCTGAGAAAAGAATTAATTAAAAAGTCGTCAACATATAAACGGCTTGAAATCCTAAAACAATATCTGCATCGAATTTGTAATACAGAGGAATCCTAACTCATAATTCGGGAAATTTAAAACCATAGTTAATTGTTCAGGAGGATACATACACTTCCATACAACCACCACATACACGTAGCTGTTTGTAATCCCTGTACCTCTCAGGTGTCTGAGGGAACGTGTGTAAACAACCAATTTTGCTTGAAACATACCCACCTTTTGTCTGAATGCTCTCACGTGTATACAGCCACTTAAAATAGAAACTAACTGATAAACATACATGTTATACCATCAACGTGTAACAACCATTTATGATTTAAACTAACTCGAACACATCTGCCCTCTACGTGTTTGAGGGCACACACATGAAAACAACCCCTCAAGATAAACTTACGCGTACACACACATGTACACCCTCTACGTGTCTGAGGGCACACACATGTACACCCTCTACGTGTCTGAGGGCACACACATGTACACCCTCTACGTGTCTGAGGGCACACACATGTACACCCTCTACGTGTCTGAGGACACACACATGTACACCCTCTACGTGTCTGAGGACACACACATGTACACCCTCTACGTGTCTGAGGGCACACACATGTACACCCTCTACGTGTCTGAGGGCACACACGTCGTGTACAACTCCGTAATACTACCTAGCTACATTTTGTACCATGCACGTGCCTTCATGGGCCTATGCAAGCTGATATGACAGCATATCAGTACAATGACAGGCCGAATTCCAACAGGAAGCGGACACATGCTTGCGGAACAATTCCATCGCCGTCGCTATCGTATAAACCTGCGATAACGTTGCTGTGATCGGAATAATTACTTCCAGCATACAAATTGTCTGCCAAAAGTGCTGCCATAAACCTCTCTTTCCATAGACCCATCATACGGGACAATATACATTACAGCAGTTTACTCATGGTTTTGCTTTATTACACAAAAAAAAAATCTCATTAAGCTTCTTTCATTATCTTTTGTTTATCTAAGAAAAGAACATAAACGGCTAATGAGATGCCTAAAGGAACTCAACACTACATATCTTTCCCGCGCGTTTCTATCAACAAGACACCTAATTATTTCAGTTATAGAATGTTCCCGGGATTTTTAGTACATGTTTTGCTAGTTACATACTTTTATATTAGTATTGCTGATTCGAAGCTATATTCCTTCATTAAGGCACCTTACACTAATTACTGTTTCCGTCCAAACTTAATAAGGATTGTTGGGACTTGGCGTTTTATGTTTGTTTTTGAAAAAACGCCGACACGGCTGGCTACTCAAGGACGTATGTATGAGCTAAATGAAAACATGACCAACCATTCTAGAAAAGAAGTCATAAATAATAGTCTTCGCAACTTTTGGATAGCTTGCATAACTATGCTCGCCGATTTCTCTTGAAGTCGCTTATTGAAATAATTTGGGTGGATTCTGTCATAAGAACATTTGGACGCGAGGCTTTTGTACTACGAAGCTTAAAACGATTTACTTGCATTCTTATGTAAAGGCAAACACACAAAATGCCATAGAATTAATTGTTATGTGTTTGTTAGCAGGAAAACAGTTAGCTTTAACAGGGTTGTGGTACAAGCACCGTAAATCTAAATGGTTTCTGTATGTAGTATCGCTCGGTTCTTTCTTTGTGCTCAGTAGGTCTCCGGGATGAATACAATATTCATGCTGAGGCTTTCACAATTCTGACTACAAAAGCGTTCCCATGAACAAGATCAGCATGTATCGCTAAGCACACATGCATTTATACTGATTCCAGGATTTCATAACACGGTATATGTCCTGAATAACAAAAATTCCGATGACATATGAAGAATTCAAAATGTTTATATAACGAAAAGGGAATTTATGGTGTTTTTTTTTAACGTAAAATCAACATCAGAATCTATAAATAAGAGTTACCATAAACACTGCCCTAACTGATTTTATCGTGTCGGTTCATAAAATAAGCTTAGCTAGCTTTTTACTGATATTTTATTACATTTCAAATTAAATATCTTTTAAAATGCTTAAAACTATGAAAGCATTGTTATTTTTTTCTTTGTATGACCCATTTTAAATATCAGATGATGTAAATCATGTTTCGATTTGCTTTTGTAATAACAGAAATACATTTATCACATATCTCACTAGCTGTTATCTAGGTTATCAGGTTTCGTATAACATGTTCCAATACAATTTTGTCTTCCCGTAATTGTCATACAGTTTTATGCCACCAGCGTCCGCTCCAACAATGTTTTATTTATTTGATAACGGGTCTGGAAATAGTACCGTTTTGTAGAAGATCACTGCTGCATCTACACATTAGGATAGAATGTAGCTCACGTTCCCCTCGTTCGCGGAACATTTGAAATATTGAGCTTTCAGCAGACGAATCGGATCTGTCTCAAGGACAGCGTTTATAGCATCGCACTGGTCAACAAGGAATGAGGCTAGATGTGGGAGATAGACCAATAGGGAGAATGAGTGTAGGGATGAGTATTGTGTGAGATAGACAATGAGGGAGGGAATGAGAGAGGATGAGTGTAGGGATGAGTATTGTGTGAGATAGACAATGAGGGGGGAATGAGAGAGGATGAGTGTAGGGATGAGTACTGTGTGATATAGACAATGATGGAGAGAAGGAAAGAGGATGAGTGTAGGGTTGAGCATTGTGGGAGATAGACCATGATGGAGAGCATGAGAGAGGATGAGTGTAGGGGTGAGTATTGTGTGAGATAGAAAATGAGGGGGGGAATGAAAGAGGATGAGTGTGGGGATGAGTATTGTGTGAGATAGACAATGAGGGGGGAATGAAAGAGGATGAGTGAAGGGATGAGTATTGTGTGAGATAGACAATGAGGGGGGAATGAGAGAGGATGAGTGTAGGGATGATTATTGTGTGAGAGAGATAATGAGGGAGGGAATGAGATAAGATGAGAGTAGGGACGAGTATTGTGTGAGATAGGCAATGAGGGGGGGAATGAAAGAGGATGAGTGTGGGGATGAGTATTGTGTGAGATAGACAATGAGTGGGTGAATGAGAGATGATGATTGTAGGGTTGAGTATTGTGTGAGATAGACAATGAGGCAGGGAATGAGAGAGGTTGAGTGTAGGGATGAGTATTGTGTGAGATCGATAATGATGGAGAGCATGAGAGAGGATGAGTGTAGGGGTGAGTATTGTGTGAGATAGAAAATGAGGGGGGGAATGAAAGAGGATGAGTGTGGGGATGAGTATTGTGTGAGATAGACAATGATGGAGAGAAGGAAAGAGGATGAGTGTAGGGTTGAGTATTGTGTGAGATAGACAATGATGGAGAGAAGGAAAGAGGATGAGTGTAGGGTTGAGCATTGTGGGAGATAGACCATGATGGAGAGCATGAGAGAGGATGAGTGTAGGGGTTGAGTATTGTGTGAGATAGACAATGAGGCAGGGAATGAGAGAGGATGAGTGTAGGGATGAGTAATGTGTGAGATACACAGGATGAGTGTAGGGTTGGGTATTGTGTGAGATCGATAATGAGGGAGGGAATGAGAGAAGATGAGAGTAGGGATGAGTATTGTGGGAGATAGACAATGATGAGTATTGTGTGAGATAGACAATGAGTGGGGGAATGAGAGAGTGTAGGGATGAGTATTGTGTGAGATAGATAATGATGGAGAGCATGAGAGAGGATGAGTGTAGGGGTTGAGTATTGTGTGAGATAGACAATGAGGCAGGGAATGAGAGAGGATGAGTGTAGGGATGAGTATTGTGTGAGATAGACAACGAGGGAGGGAATGGGAGAGGATGAGTGTAGGGATGAGTATTGTGTGAGATAGACAATGAGGGGGGGGGGATGAGATAGGATGAGTGTAGGGATGAGTATTGTGTGAGATAGACAATGAGGGGGGAATGAGAGAGGATGAGTGTAGGGATGAGTATTGTGGGAGATAGACAATGACGGAGAGAAGGAAAGAGGATGAGTGTAGGGTTTGATTATTGTGTGAGATAGATAATGAGGGAGGGAATGAGAGAAGATGAGAGTAAGGATGAGTATTGTGTGAGATAGACAATAAGGGGGGGAATGAGGGAGAATGGGTGTAGGGTTGAGTATTGTGTGAGATAGACAATGATGGAGAGCATGAGAGAGGATGAGTGTAGGGATGAGTATTGTGGGAGATAGACAATGAGGGAGGGAATGAGAGAGGATGAGTGTAGGGTTGGGTATTGTGTGAGATCGATAATGAGGGAGGGAATGAGAGAAGATGAGAGTAGGGATGAGTATTGTGTGAGATAGACAATGAGGGGGGGAATGAGAGAGGATGAGTGTAGGAATGAGTATTGTGTGAGATAGACAATGATGGAGAGAAGGAAAGAGGATGAGTGTAGGGTTGAGTATGGTGTGAGATAGACAATGATGAGTATTGTGTGCGATAGACAATGAGGGGGGAATGAAAGAGGAGGAGTGTAGGAATGAGTATTGTGTGAGATAGATAATGAGGGAGAGAATGAGAGAAGATGAGTGTAGGGTTTGATTATTGTGTGAGATAGATAACGATGGAGAGAAGGAAAAAGGATGAGTGTAGGGGTTGAGTATTGTGGGAGATCGATAATGAGGGAGGGAATCAGAGAGGATGAGTGTTGGGATGAGTATTGTGGGAGATCGATAAGGAGGGAGGGAATGAGAGGGGATGAGTGTAGTGTTGGGGATTGTGAGAGATAGATAATGATTGAGAGC